AAGTTACCAATGCGCGAGTGTAAAATTTCCAGCGGTTACCATGAATTTCCGATTTGTCCAAGTTTTGCGGTTGTAGCATGTTGTCAAAGTTTGCATTCGACTGCCAAACGCAGCGAAATCAATCAATCTCAATGAAATGAAAAATTCCCAAATGCGCTCAGGTGGTCTGGCTGTTGTTGTTATGCTTTTTTTCTGTGTGTGTGTGTTGGTGCTTTTTTATTTCGGTGACGTGGGAAACGAGAAAACAAAAGCACCTGAAGTCCAAACTCATTACGCCAAACATAACATATCACTTCGGTGGGTGAGTGAGTGAGTTATGTTGGTTTTTTTACTCATACTGTGATTGAAGTATGTTTTGTATACCCTACGGACACGTATTAATTATGAACAATTATCAGCGCGTTGAAAACGTGTCGATTTTTCATCATTCTTGATGATTAATTAAACCGCGCAGCTGCTGCGCGAGTATCAGACGAGATAAAAGGATATAAACAAATAAAATAGGTAACCGGGGGTATCTTTAACAAATATGATGAATTTGAGGAATATTTGACTAGTAGTTTTAATGATAATTGGCTTTAAAGTAAGTAAAGTTGAAATAATTGTCATTTTTTGCAAAAAAATCGGGTTTTTTGCTATAACTTTTAAACCACTCAACATTAATTGATCAAATTTTATACACGTCTTAAGAATGTAATAACTCACAGCCCCAAGAAACTTCAAAATAAAATATTAACAAATATTAATTTTATGACAACAAAAACAAACAAAACAAGTATAAAACTTGAAAAGATGTTTTGTTTATATTTTAGACAATTATCTATGTAACTACTGATTATTTATTAATCAAACTTGGTGAGTTTGTTAAAAATGTGTATAGTTATACATTCAAATAAATTTAATGGCAAAATATTAATTATTTTAAAAGTTACGGCTAAAAAACCAAGAAAATATCAGAAATACATGAATTATTGCAAAAAAAAATCTGTTTTTTCCTAATTATTTTTAAACGACACAATAAATATTGATAAAAATTTGGAAACACTCTCTAAATGTCTATAGACACTATCTGCCGACATATTATATAAAAATATCAATAAATATTAAAGTTAAAGTAAACTAAACTAATTAAAACTAATTTGTTTATTTGCAACCAATTATCTTTAAAACTACTAATTAGATATTATTCGTATTTGGCATACTTATTAAACATATAATTAATTACCTCCTGGCAATATTTCACGAAAAAATAATAAGTATTTTCATAGTTATAGTCAAAAAACTAAAAAAAACTCATTTTTTACCTTCGCATGAATTTGCTAAAAAAAATCTCAATTTAAAAAAGCCCATTTGAGATAGTTTTACGAAGATTGCAAACATTATTTGTACAGATTGCAGTGTGTTGTCTGCTGTCAGAGTGTCCGTTCAAGCTGATTGCTTTATTCCCCCGCCGAATTTCTCGCATCGCACAGGTGGAAGCGCGAAAAGCTCCAAGGTGTCCACCGCCCGGTGATTGGATATCAAAGGCCGCGGTGCGGCGCCCCGCGGGAGCGAGATGTTAACACACAATGATGGGTTTTCCAGCCCACACGACCGTAGGCATTCTTTCCACTACCGCCGCCACCGCCGACCGATAGATTGATGTTGTTTGCAGGCCGCTCTCGACCGGCCGCCCTTTGTGTGCACGGATTTCACGCAAGTGCGACATCAAACGAAGAAGGGAAGTGATCAAGAAGAATTTATTCCGTGTTTGAACACTGAAGAACATCCGAAACCTATCTCCAGCTCCACCCAAGAACCGCAAAGAAAAAAAAAATCATCCACGTAATCGTTATTAGAAAAGAAAAAGAAGCAAAATTCCTCGACGGATCGCAGTTTGATTTCCGCTTTGATTCTGTTATAATCACATAATCACACACACTGTATAGATGTGTGTGCGGTTGGAAACTCGAGTCGAATACTAAATAATTCAGAAGATTCCTGTTTTCATTTGTTTTCTTATTTTCTTTTGTTTAGTTCAGCGTGGAAAAAGTTCGCCACGCCGCATTTCGTATTCGACGACTCGCGCGCGCGCGCCTTCAATTTGTCGAAACGCATGAAAAAGATTGATTAGTTTTTCGCCGCGGTCACGAACCGAACGATCCAGCGGAACACCGAGCGTTAAGATAATTGTATTACGTGGTGGCTGTCGGAGAGATATAGACGTAATAAACGCACGCCTACGCTCGAAACGCGCACAAGAGAAAACTTTCTAACGTGCGGTCACGTAATCTCACTCGACATTCGTTTGCCGCGCACGAGATATCAATCCATGGAAAAATAATATTTAAGACTTAAACTTTAACCAATTAAATCTCGATGTCTCTTGATTCGTAGGGCATTTTCGCGCAGCAGAAACAAAACGAATTTTTGTTCCAACGCTTTGTTTCGTTTTCTTCGCCATCAACGAAAATTGCGTGGAATCTCGATGCGAAAAGTTGTTGCATAAAAGCGACGCTTTAGTTTTCCATCGCCTGCGACGTGTAATAACACTTATTTGTCTTATTTGCGCCCGGCTAGAATTTCCCAGTCGCGCAGCGAGAAAAGAAACTCGGAATTATCTGCACGTAATTTAAATAGAATTCCGCTCACTTATGCGAAATAAAGCGCTGGCTGGCTGGCGTTGGGGAGAAGTGTAGAAGAAATCCTTGCCTGCGCCCGAAAACGAAGCGGAGAAGAAGAGTATGAAGAGAGGATGAGATGTTGGGCGAAGTGTAATGCACCAGATTGAGTTAACAATGAAGCTCGCATGCGGCGCCGCGCGTCGAGTGATCTATTTACGTAGCTGCCGTCGCCTCCAGCCGCCTCCGCCGACTGCCGCCGTGGAGAGCTAAAACAGCACAAACGTAGGATTATTTACTTTTCCGCGTCCGCGTCCAAGGCGCCCGGTAAATATTTCGATTGTCGCGCACAGTCGCCGCACTATCCACTAATAGACTCTTTCACTTAGGAATATTACAAATAAATCATTGTCGCGGAAATGTTTTATATGCTTAGACAATGGGGAATTTAATTTGGCAACAAGTTGCACATCTTGGAACTAAAATTTCAGTTTTTTGATACTTAAAAACTGAGAAAATGAAATTTTTAAGAAAAAAAAATTTTTTTTTCATAATTTTCAAAGTTTTTAGAGTTATTCTGTTATTTTATACAAAAATAAATTAAATAAATCTAAAAATAGTAATGAATATTGCCCCAGTGACTCCTTAGTTGTAAATTTTAATAATTTTTTGTAAATTGCCGAAAATTACGTTTTTTTAATAATTTTTTGTGTTAAATGTCGCAAATTCTTGCAAATAATGAAAGAATTAAGATATTTCATATGCAATGTGCTCTTTTTTAAAATAACATTGATTAAAACGATTCAAAATAGCATTTTGCCACTTTTTCATACACAAAAAGTGGTACTTTAAGCACGGTCGGTCAAGGCCGTGACTAAAGTACTTAAATCACGGGATGAAGCTTGCGCCTGCGCATTTACCTACGGCGCTGCACAAAACCATATGAAATGCCATGCGTCTTCAGTCAAACAAATCAAAAAAAAAGCAAAAATTGCCGAAAATTAACGATTTTATGATATTTTTTTTGCCTTCAATGTATTCTTTTTTTAAATAAAAAAAAATGGTTGTTTGTAAAGTAGGTTTACGATCGAGATGTTTACGTGATAACGTCTTATTGGTGATATAAGTTTTGTTTGTTGCAATTGTTGTAACACTTCACTTGCACTTCACATTTTGTTTTACTGTTAAACATTCAACGAAAACTTAACCGCACGAGAAAATCTCCATTCGTTTGTATGCCGCTAGAGTGAGAGAGACGGAAGATCGGTCAACTCACTCGAACGCTATGCCTGCCTCCGCTCGTGTGGATTCCGCGTGACAAGTTTCACGGAATGACTGGCAGCGCTCGAGATGAGACGGGAGATCGGTCCGTCTCTCTCTCGTTATAACGAGAGGGGGGTATACCTGCGATCGGCCTCGAGAGGCCTCGTGACACAGTTTCTGAACATGTCACCCGACTAAAACGATTTTAAAGACGTTATCACGTCAAAATATTAGTAAACATATCAAAATAGTATTTCTATCAAAATTTCTATAAATTTTCATCTATTTTCACTTTTCCCGCAACTTTTAAGCCTTTTTCGACAACATAACCTATTTTTTTGTTTTTCAAATATATTACTTTAGTGGCACTTGTGTGTCAAAATACATATACGCAGTTTACTAACCATATCACGTTCGCGAATTGGATTCCAAGGAAATTCGCTCGCATTCCAAGGGTTCAAAAGGACCTCGCGTCCGGGAGGATGTCGAGCGTGTGTAAAATATGCAAAACTGGCCGGCTGGTTAATGGCCGCCGGCTGAAATGTATGAAAAGTGTAATTTAATATTCGTCCGCGGTGCGTTTGTGTCCCGCGTACGGAAACAAGCGCTCGAGAAGCCGTTGCTCGCAACAAAATTATTATTTTAACCCACACCGTTTACGTGCGAATTGATTTAATTTTATGATAATTTCATTTCAACTTTTGTCCAAACTCCCACTCTCGCGCACATTTAATCTTCCACAATATGAAATTAGAATCTCTTTATCAAACGCACGGCGTAATTTTGCGGCGTAAATATTTACGTTTTTATTACGTGGAAAACTTTATCGCGCAACCAATTTGAAAAATTCAATTTGTAAAGTTTCCCTTGTGCAAACAGATATTCTTTATTGAAAGTTTGCTTAAGAACAAATTGCGTAATCAGATATTTTGCATTTCTTTCAAAACTTTCCCGTAATTTATTTGTTTTCTTCTTTTTTTTCTTGTATGAAACTGTATATTGTGACAATCAATATACGGACGCATATTGTAAGCACAGTAATGCCCTTTTTATGCACTCGGAAATAAAAATATTAACAACACGTTGTGTGTGTCGTTTGTTCCATTCAATGTTGAACAGGAACAAAAGTAGTAAACATTATGTCAACCATTTATTTCTTCGGCTTTTTTTCGTTTTCTTTCTCTATTTATAACCGCGCGCTGCACAGCTGCTTGGCTTGCGCGGCGAATAAAATTATCAAACGTGGAAATCTTCAGAACGCGCGCGCGGAGCTATTAAATCGCCTACGCTGGCGCTCGCGGACCACGAGGGGTGTCGAGGCAAACTTCCAACAATAATGTTTAACTGAAATTGCGTGTCCGTGTTCGCCGTCGTAAAAATTTATCAACGTTTAATCTAACGACCGCCGACGACCGCCTATAAAGTAGACCACTTTATTGCCCGGCGCCTCCACTACCAAAACGCTATGATAAATTGTCAAAAATAAAAATAAAACACCACATTTATAAAACTACAAATTTGCGTTACAGAAAATAAAATTTTTAGTTTAAACTCGTGGCTTAAACTCGCACTTCATCAACACTTGGTTGTACTTGGTTGTTCGTGCGGGGGCGTTTGCGGAAGCACGACATTAGCTACTAGTTAACCCGCTAACCCTCCAGCTTTGTCGCTTGTTACACGCCGAAAATCTGCCGACAATCTCATGACAATCTCGACGTTGCAAACGACGCGCGAAGAAGATCGACGTACTTGTCCCAAAACTCCCTAATTTCCTTCTCCGCTCGTGCAAGGCGCGACTGCTATAACCCTATTTTATGACTAGTTTTTGAGAGGCCAAAGTTAAGTCCTCATTTGTCAAACGCGCGCATTGTTCGAATTCTTACGCGTGTCGCCCGGATTACTTCCAAGATATTTAACCTACGCGCGCGCGGAGATTCGCTGCCGGCAGCTTGAGGCTTCGGCGAGAGAAGATCTTGCGAGTTGCGCGCTGTCCTAGGAAATAGAATTTCGAGTGGCGTTGTCTAAACATGGGTGGCGGCGATAGCGTTCGGGAGCTTGTTTGCCGAGCACTTCGCAACAACACCGACTTGCGTCAGGGCGTCATCTCGTGCAACTTTGGTGTTGGATATCCTCTATCCTAACTTATGCATCGGGGCGTATATCGCTGGATAACACGGCGTAATTTGTAATTTGATTGGAAGTGCAACAGGATGTGAAAGCTGCACGTTTTTACTGCTATATTGCCAGCAATAATCTTCAAATGTCTGCTACACATAGAAGTTGATCTAAAATAAGTTAATATTAATATTTATAAGGAAAATAAATGTATTGATACTTATTTTGATGATATTTCATTGATTTCTTGACTTAAATTGTTGTTTTTCATCATATTTTGGTTGGTTTTATGCCAAATTTGAAGTAAAACCTGTAAAAAAGCATAGATTTAATGAGTTTTACTTAATATCTTATGTTTAAACTATATTTAACACTTGAACTGCTGTTAAAAATGCAACAAGTCAAGCGTTGCAACGAAAAACGTGCTTTTTTGAGGTTAAAACACGTTTTACTCTAAATTTCTTGTTAATTTCTTAGTTTACAGATGTTTCATGCTGCTTTTCATGTACTACAATAAATTACAATGTTACTACACCAATTCTACATGATAACAACAATATAATCACCTTTTAATCACAAAATTTCATCTTAAAACCCACTTACACTTTCATGTGTTTTTGACACTTCCCAGATTAACCTTGAAACACATTTCAAGGTTCAATCTGAAAACTAGTTTAAAATTCCAACAAAAAGCAATAAATTCACAAAATGATTACGTAAGCAAGAGTGTAGACTGACCCCCCGAGTGACCTACCCCATACTTACCCCTACTAGATAGGTTTTTACGGTCTGTTACATACCTGAAACGGCATGAAACGAAACGAAGTAGCATCAGCAGCAAATAAAACACAAACCGAAACAAAAAAGCAGCGCAGCGCACTACATAAACTTGCATAGTTTCTTCCATCTGGCTGAACTGACTTGAATTGTCAGTGTGTGCCGGCGCGCGCGTGTGTCAGCATATACGATCTCGTAAAATATGCAAGTCTGGCTGCCTGTTGGTCCAAGGCTCTTCGCGGAAAACCCTCGAGAAAAATGCGCCCGCCGTTCGTCGGATTTAAATTACATTTGCACAGGTCGCCACACACGCTGCGCGCACTGCCCGCACGGAATTTATTCCTCAACACGCAGGATGCAGTAAACACTCGTGGAACACAATTAACCAACTGCAGGTGATTATTTATATCGTGGCGGAAAAATTTGTTGACAATTTAAATTCGAAATGCAGCTTTCTATTTTCCAGCACAAAATGACATGACGCGTCATTAATAATTACAACACCACCTCCAGTGCAATATGCGGGGGCCAGTCGCAGCCGTTAATTATTCGCAAAGCCTAAAAGATGCATGTTTGCACTTGCCGGTCAGCCGGAGCTGATAAATTAGGTTATGTTTCATCACCTGCTGCATCGAATCAAACAATTTGAAGAGATTTACGTCCTGCGGTCGGCCAGCTTGTGTAAATATTTTGCTAATTAATTGTTTACCGCAGTTGCGCAGGCCACCTTTGCGGATGAAATGATAACAGACTTTGATTTGATAACGAGCTATGCTTGTTTGCTTCTCATTTTACGAGAAACCCCGGCTATTGTCTTCGTGAATACGCTTTGATTCGGGCATGTGAAGGGTCTAATCAAAAATTAAACACGCTCAACGCACGATAACGAGCACCGGGTGAGTTTAAACATTTCGAATCAGATTTTAATTATGCGTATACGCACTAAAAAGACGTAAATATCTACGAGTTATGCGATAAAATCGTATTTAATGCGCTCTAATTATAACGTGAATTATAACAATCTAAAATGGGTTGTAATTCGAAATTATGTGTACATTATTGTTGTTTATGGCATGCCGCCTGGGACACGAGTGCAATTTGTCTTCATTTGCATTGCCCTCGGAGTGGAGGTCGGCATGTCGTTGCGCGGGATTATTTCCGGTTTAATATTTAAAAATTAAATTAAAGTGAAACATTGAAAACGGCGCTAGTTGAAAGCCGGTTCGGGCGGTTTATTATGTTTGAGAACAAAACGCAACCCACAACACACAGAATGCAACCAGTCAAACGAATTTATTTGTTGTGTCATATTTTCGCACGTATTTTATATGAGCTCATATACAAAGTGATAATAAAACTATTTAGTTATAAATAAAAACTTTTTAAAGTTTTTTTAGTTGAAATTTTAGTTTTTTCAAAAAAAAAATTAAAATTTTGATTTTTTAATAAAAAGTTTGGTTATTTTAGTTTATTTGAGGTTATTATTGATACACTTTGTATATTTGCTTTCATATTTCGCGATTCGCAATTTAATAATCTTTGACTTGACACGAACACGTGTTTTTATTTCGCCGGCGGTTATTCTCGCCGTTTTTCGCTTTTTCGATTCTTGCTTTTTATCATTTTTATTTCCCATTTTGACGCGCCGCGTGCCATCCGCATTTTCTTTCGATATAAATGTCACTCAAAAACGTTCCAATTAGGTTATAGCTAATCTCAAATATTCAGCAATTTGTTTGCACACAAACAGAATATAAATTCACCAGAGGGCGCTGCAAATTACCCACAAGCTAAAAATACTATAGGCAACACTGTATTCTTCGTTATGTCAAGTATTCACGCAATACTTCATTATCCATAACTCTCGTTTATTGGTTTTATTATTATTTCTTTTCTTTTCCTTATTATGCACCTAATATGATTGAAAAACTATCGATTTATTTCACAACCTGAAAAAAAAACTAAGAAAATACTCGTAAGTTGCTTTGATTACTCATATTTCCCTAGCAGTGCAAAATTTTCTTGAAATCCACTCGTAACGATTGCGATTAGCAGCGCGCATGCGATTAATTAATAACTCATTGTGCTGCGCGGACAATAAACGTCGCGGCTAATGAGAAAAATGTTGCGCACTTTTTCATCGCGTATTGTTCGATGATGGCGACGTTGATTTCGTTTCGATTATGGCAGGCGCTCTGGCCGGGAGAAATCATTGTCTTCGGCGTGTGCGCGGCGTAATTAATTCGCCGGGGCCTGGGCACAAAGCGGCGGGCGACATGCCAACTGGAATATTTGTTCACGAAAGAAAAACGCACACAGCACACCAGAAACACATCAAATGCATGTTCCGGCTCGCATTAAAATCTGACGTTAGTACATTTCGAATGGAAGCGGGACACAACCCCCACCCCCACTCCCAAGCGCCCAGCGCCCCCTAAAGTCAAATGAAATATACGTTTCATTTGTATGGGGCTTTTGTGTGTGCTTTTGACATCAGAAAAAATTATATATTATGTACGCTTATTGTTTGCTTCCCGTTTTCGTTTTATGACCTTTTGTAATACATAAAATTAAGAGATTAATTAAACTTTCCATTCAATATTAACCTCAATTCAATGTGTAAGTATAAATATTGCCTACATTTCTATTTTGTGTGTATGTAATGTACTTATATCGATTACGTTCTTGCTTACAGGTTGTAGTTCACTGTTTGTTTTTGTTAATTAAATTTACCGGAGGGTTTTCTCTATTGATCTTTCACTATTTGATGTTTCGCCCCCTCCCGCGCCGGTAGCCCTTGTTGGAACGCGATCCATTACATCGTGGCTGCCTCGGTGGTGGCTGGGAAACAAATCGTGTACATTTGTTTGCTGCGTTCTGGGGTTTTCTCTCTTTTTTTCGCTTCCTACTTCAAGCAAAACATAACGTTATCATGTGTGTAATTCAACTTTTGTTTTCTACTTTTACTTCAACGGTACGTAGGAGATAAAAACGTAAAACTTAAAGGTGAATTCTTTTTGTAGGTATTTTAGTGCTGCCATCTCACAATAAAAAGCTTTGTAAAACTAACATAAAAAGTGAATTATTTTTAATTCCTGCGTTTTCTTTGGTAAATTAACAATGTTTATGATTTTTTAAAGTTGTTGTAAGTGATTTCTTGGTTTTTCTTTTAAAATATGCAAAAATAGATGTGTTGTGAGGTTATGTCAACATAAAAATGAATTTTCATCAATATTAATCCAAACTTAACGTCAAAATGCATAATAAAGCTGTTAAACCATGATTTCTTTGAGCTTTTTATAAATCTCACCTAAAACTTAAAGAAAATGCTTTTATTTCATGTTTCTGTGTTAAATTAAAACAATTTATGTCATTTTTAGTTGTTACTATTGAATTACACATGAATAGGTTAAGTCTAAGATTCTTTTTTTAAAAAATCGTCACTTGTTCAGAAATACAAAGAAATGGATGTGTTGGGTGGTTATGTCAGCGTAAAAGATGCAATTTTATCATTTTTGATCCAAATTTAACCTCAAAATACATAATAAAGCTGTTAAACCATGTTTTCTCTAAGATTATTGTAAATTTAACCTAAAACTCAATTAAATTACTTTTATTCTATGTGTTTGCGTTAAAAATTAAAAATTAGTTGTGTTTCTGAGGCTATATCAACGTAAAAGATGCATTTTCATCATTTTTGATCCACGTATAACCTGAAAATACAAAATTAACGTAACAGGTTAATGTTTTATTTGAGGTTTTTGTAAATTTAACCTAAAACATAATTAAATCACTTTTATTTCATGTTTTATGTTAAATTAACACAATTTATGCATATTTGTTGTTGTTTCAGTTAAATCTAAGATTCTTCTTTAAAAAAAATAGAAAAATAGTTGTGTTTTAAGGTTATGATGATGTGGAAATAGTAATTATACAATATTTCCTTCAAATAACCTCACAACTAGTTATTTATGCACGATATTACAACATTTTACAATAAATTATATAAAATTTCATATTTTATGTTGTTATGACACCAATATAACAAATTTCATACGCTAAACTCTTCTTCTTCGTATTTTAGCGCTGCCCTCTCACAATAGGAAGCTTTAGCTGCCATAACCTATAAAAAAATCGGCTTTTCCAAAATCTTTTGATGTCCATACCAAGTAGGCAGATAATTGTATCATATCACTGCCGAGCAGAGGTCCCGCGCCAATTTCGCTCAATGTGTGCTGGCGGATTTGTCGCTGAAAAACGACGCGCAAAAATGCCGCTGTCGCGAGAAACGAAGCGCCCCGGTGTGACGAAGGATTTTCCCAACGCTGCCAGCAGGAAGCCCGGCATGACTAATGCGCTTTCAAAGTCGGCGGATGTGTTAACCTGCGGCCATGATTTCCCTTCCCGGCGGAGATCGCCAGTGGTCAACTTCGCTATTAATCAATTTTTACATTATTTACGACAGCGTTCCTATTAACTCTGGAAAATATAACCATTTTCTAACTTGTCGTGTCAACGCCAAAACAAACGACAACACACACACACTCAAATACATTTAAAAAACAAATTCCGAAATAAAACTAGTTTTCCTATTACAAATGTTACACATTGTTTCATTGCGTCCGACGCGCATAAATCACACATGCGAATCATCCGCACGACAGTAAATCAAGCCGGTGGAAATCAGATGATCGCGGGGGGTGATTTACGAGCGCGTTGAAAACAGATTTCCGTGTGCCGTTTGATCTTGGCGACGATTGCGAGCGCCGCGTGCGCGCCTTAATTGAATATTGTTCGCAATCGGTGTGCGTTAGATGTTGATGTGCTGATGTGCACTGCGTAG